TAAATCCATTACGTTTACTTACGTGAATTACCTCGGGAAAGGTATGAATCCTCTTCATCTCCGCTACGAGTAAATAGCAGGACAGACCTTGGATGGCAACTGGTCTACCGCAGGAAGAAATGGCAACCTACTGCAGGAAAAATTTGCCTCGTCAGTCATATATCGAAAGATACATGAACGTCTAAGCTTGTGTCACGCATGGCACAGAACTGACTGACTGTTGTTGTTGAAAGTCCTCAATTGATATTGTTTTTGTTATTTGGTACAGATTTTTGTTTGTGATTCTGTAGCGCCAGTCAATGAGGTTCGATGAAAGGTAGTCTTCGCTAAGACCCAAGCTCGAGGCGTTTATGGTTGTATATAATCTGATTCCTGTTAGTGAGTTTTCTATTTCTTTTTATTTCTCTCCAACAGCTCCGTCATATTTAGTCAATTTCAGCGAGCGGGAATATATATATATATATATATATAAAGATAAAGAACGCCGAGAATTGTTATCAGTCAAGCAGATAATGGAACGCTGAAACAAAACTTGAGCGTCTCGCTTCGCTTTCTCCATTGTTTCTAACTCGTTCTCACCAACTCATTTTAAAATGCAGACGATATACTGACTGCTTCTATTTCTTACAAAACGAAAGATTAAAAAGAAAGAAAGAAAGAACAAAAAATACGGAACGAGAGAAAAAGGGATGAAGAACCTATTAAAAAAAAATACAGCGAGAAAATTATAAGTTAGGAAATGACATTAAGAAAAATAAATGATTCTATTATTTCTTTTATTTTTTCCCCTCTGTCACCGATAATTCGTCATCCAATCAGTTTATTCATTTATTTGTAAACGATGCCCATTGATTATCAATATTTATTATAGACAGTCCATTCTTCTTTTTTGGCGGGAAGATTGTATTTTTTGTTTCTCGGAGTTAAACACTGAAAACGAACGTCATAACAGATTGTTTACATTTCTCGCCCTTTTTTTTCTATTTAACTTGTCAGTTTATTATCACCCCCACCCCCACGGCTTATTTATTTATTTACATAATGATCACTCATTACTAGCATAATCTCGCGCATAATACCCGTAAAAAATGATGGGATTATTTACGCTTGAAACGACACTTCTACCTAAGATCAGTGCCTGTGCATTCTGTCGAGGATCAAAGTGTGGCTTTGGAGTCTCTGCCTCGTATCGATATAGCATCAATCCATACCAGTGAGAATGACAATGTCAGTGTATTGATTGATTGATTGATTATCAACATTTTGCAGGTTATTTAAAGCCAGAAAATATGTTTAGATTGCAAGAATTTGTTTTTTTAGACAATAATGATTTAGTGATACAAGTATTACTAATTAACCCATAGCTGGGGTAGAAGAGGTGATTTATAGCCATCCCAAGAATTTTGCGCGAAAGTGAATATAACGGAGCCAAGGGGAATTAGAACTCGGCTTTCCGATTAACAATTCCGAGCCATTATCCATTACCCAGTCCGCACATACAAGCTTAGAGCATCTGGTATTCCCAACCGTTACCCTTCTAAGTACTGACCATGCTGGACGTTGCTTAACTTCGGTGATCGTACAGTAATCGGTGTTCCAGTATGATGTGTCCGTAAGCATCATCAGTATAGTATCTGTGTATTCTATCAAGGATTACTGTTTACTTTCAGACCTTCTGCATAGCATCAGTGTAGTATTTGTGCATTATATGAAGGATTACAGTAACGTTTCAGGCTTTCCAATTATTATCAGTGTAATGGTTCACTAAAAAACTTACCCAAGTGCCGACTGCGGAAGCGACCATCGCCCTGTTATGTGTAAACTAAGAGTAAAATTACAGAAACTGAAGACGTCTAACGCCGCACCCAAATGGCAATATAAAAAATTCCTGTGCGACCCGTAACTGAAGGAAAATTATATGGACAATGTGAAAAGAGGATAGTAGGGATGCTATAGAAATGGAAACTCGAACTGGGACGCACTCATTAAATGAGTCTATCGGAACCTTTTCTAATCAACCCGAGTATTCCAACTACAACTGGAATTACTGATGTCCTCATGTGCCACATTTTTGAGATTTCCACTTCAAGATCCTTGTATTTTGATAGTTTTTTTTAAGATCTTCAAAGATACATTACAATCTGCAGGGACTGCTATATTAATAAGAAAACACATTCTGTTTTTGTGGTCTTTGATCATGATGTCTAGACGATTAGTATTGATTGTTCTGATTGTGTTTTATTGGAGAGTCCCATAATATTGTTACAGATCCTATCTATGTAACCGGGTTTGGGTGATGTTCATACCAGTTTCCTTCCCGTAAAAGTTGTATAATTTCTAATGCAGATATTATGCCAAGTTTTATATTTAGTGAGTGCTAACATTGTGCAAACACTGTGTAACCTGATACAAGGGGTTCAATTGATTCTGGATATTTATCACAGAATCTGCAGTTGGGGCCAACACAATTTTTCAGTATATGTGCTTGGTAATTTCTAGTTAATAAGCATTGGTCCCGTACAGTAAGAATAAAACCTCCGTTTTCAGAATAAAAACTTCAATTTCAGAATTATTATTATTATTATTTTTATTTCCTTTGATTTCTGGCGTTTACACATTTCTTTCCGGGTCCCGCCCAAGGACCTAAGGTTAGAAATGGCATCATGACACTTTCCACTGACAAAAAAAAAAAAAAAAAAATTACATGGATAAAGTCCTTCGTAAAGTGTGGGCTGTACTTGTCAGAACGATTTTTGTATCTCCTTGAGGCATCCCTTCAATTAGTCTACTGCAATCTTTTCCAATCATTCCTATGACTCCAACTACAACAGGGATTGTTGATGTTCCCATGTGCCACATTTTTGAGATTTCTATTTCAAGGTCCTTGCATTTTGACAGCTTTTTGAATATCTTCAAAGATACATTGCAGTCTGCAGGGTCTGCCATATCAATAAGGAGGCACTTTATTATTATTATTATTATTATTATTATTGTTATTATTATTATTATTATTATTATTACTTTGATTTCCGGTTTATACTCATTTCTTTCCAGATCTCGAACAGAGACCTAAGGTCAGAAAGGGCATCATGACATTTTTCACTGATAACTTTTGTAAAAAAATCCACCTCCCACCAAACAAAAGAACCAAGATCACACACATTTCAATATATAAAATCTTTCGCAATGCATAAGCTGTACTTGTGACTAAAATTTGTTTTTGTATTTCTTTAAGGCATGGGCTAACAGGAATCCATTCAGCAAGTGTATTGGAATCTTTTCCAATCAATTTGAGGGCTCCAACTACAACTGGTATTGTTGATGTTCTCTTGTGCCACATTTTTGAGATTTTAATTTCAAGGTCCTTGTATTTTGATAGATTTTTGAAGATCTTCAAAGATACATTGCAGTCTGACATTAAGAAACGAGGTTTTATTACTATTCAATGTTTCTTTGGAATGAGACTTTTCTTAATTAAAGGAGGGTGTTATTAAAAAGTATTGGTCGAGTCACCATTAAGGCTCCTAATGTGTATGACACATCAAGTAAACGAAATTAGATAGAGTATTAGAACAGTACCATAAAAAATAAACTATAATAGGCTATAAATGACTTGTAAAAGTATTATTCCCTCTTCAGCAGGTACTCTAATATTTACATAGCCAAGTCTGGCACCCGTCCTGGGTATGACGATAAACTACATCCGCGTCCAGGGTAAGAGGGTAAGTCCAGCATCAAGGCCTCTGATTAGGAGGTTTTGAGGAACTTGGAACAACCTCTTAATTGCTGATGTTCCCAGGTCCTCCCTGAACCGGGGTGGTATCACTTGTTAGGGTCCCAGCTATGGGAAAATAGTTAACCCCGAAACTGAGACTACATCCACGTCCTGGGCATGATGATAGACTACATCCGCGTCCCGGGTAAGACGATAAACTACGTCCAACAGCAAGGCCTCTGATCAGGAGGGTATAAGGAGCATGGAACCTCCTCTTAATTGCTGATGTTCCCAGGTCCGTCCTGACCCGGGCTGGTAGCACCTGTTAGGGTTCCAGCTATGGGAAAATAGTTAACCCCGAAACTGAGACTACATCCACGTCCTGGGTATGACGATAAACTACATCCGCGTCCAGGGTAAGACGATAAACTACGTCCAACAGCAAGGCCTCTGATCAGGAGGCTTTGAGCAGCGTGGAATCTCCTCTTAATTGCTGATGTTCCTAGGTCCACCCTGATCTGGGGTGGTAGCACCTGTCAGGGTCCCAGATATGGGCAAATAGTTAACCCCGAAACTGAGGTAAAAAGCATTATAAAAGTGTAAAAATAGGTTTTAATACCAGAAATACTTTGTAAAAAATTATCACCAGAAATAAATTTTTGAAGAAAAAAAAATACCAGCAATACGTTTTTGGAAAAAAAAATATTACCAGTTATACGTTTTTGAAAAAATAATATTACCAGCTATACGTTTTTGAAAAAGTATTACCAGCTATACGTTTTTGGAAGAATAATATTACCAGTTATACATTTTTGAGTAAAAAAATATTAACATAAATAGATTTTTGACAAAACAAAAATATTACCAGAAAAAATCTTGGCATTAAATGACCCATTGAGGTCGATATGCCGTAAAACAAAACAAACCAGACACAAAGAAAAAGTGAAGTATCCAACGAAGAACAAATTGATTTGAAATAGCTTTGTGCTTTCCAGCGAGAGTCATAAGTTTTTGATCATCTAGCATTTAAAGACACAATACTGTAGCAGCGAATAAAGAAAAACTCATGAGAACTGACTTAAGCAGTTAACTGCCCCCTCCAGCAAAATGCCTCAATATTTACAGTTTGAAATATGGTCACAGTTGTGGGCTTCCCAGTGAAGAACGAATTCATTGGGAATGGCTTACGTGACATGACCATTGCTCTAAAGTGGGCGCCAATGAAGGAAATATATTGAAGCCAGTTCCAGATTCGACAGGAGGAGACAAAGGTTAATGTACTTACCACATCTATAATTTGAGCTAACGCCAATCCAAACGTCACATTGATGGCCTCCGAGGAATTCAAAGACGGCCGGACTCTTTTGTCGTAATTTTTTAACAGCTTGCTTACTAACGCTAGCTCCACTTCATCGGCAAACGAGGAAGCTGAAAAAAAAAAAGGTAGAAAAAAGAAATACGGTTATTTCTGACATTAGTTATTAGCGTTAATATATTAATAGAAAAAAATAATATTAAAACAAATGCGATAATTGCCTGCATATTCTGCCTCGATTAAGAGGTTGGCAACGTTTTCTGCTCGACGGCATTAAATGGATAATAAAGACCAACGGGAGTAAAGAATTGGAACAAGAACAGAAAGCATCATCATCACCATCACACCATCACCATCACTATCAACATTATTATCATTAAATGAGTTAGATAGCAGCACGACACCAAAATGGCGCTAGGGAAAAAACATTACGAAACCCAATGTACCCATCATGTCACTCCGTCTGATAAGTCTATCCCAGATACATGCATCATCATCATCATCATCATATTATTATTATTATTATTATTATTATCATCATCATCATTCGATTTCTGCTATGGACACACTACCTACCAAGTCTGCGGAAAGACCTTATTATTATTATTATTATTATTATTATTATTATTATTATTATTCAGCGAAAGAGCCGAACGCAAAGTATCTGACACTCGGGCAAAAATTTACGAAACCCAACAGACCCATCATGTCATTCATTCTGCTAAGTCTATGCCAGATACACACATCATCATCATCATCACCATCTTCTTCTTCTTCTTGTTCTTCTTGTTGTTGTTCTTCTTCTTCTTCTTCTTCTTATTATTATTATTATTATTAAGTGAGACAGCCGAAAGCCAAGAATGTGACACTCGGGTAAAAATTTACGAAGACTAATGTCCCATCATGTCATTCTTTTTGATAAGTCTATACAAAATACACGCATCATCATCATCATCATCATCATCATCAGATTATTATTATTATTGAGTGACAAAGCAGTCCAACAACGAGGTGACATACGGGCAAAAATTTACGAAGCCCAATATCCCCATCATGTCACTCAGTGCGATGAAGGTATGGCATGCATATTCAATACAGTCAACTGTGCGTAACCAGGTTACAACTGATACAAGTAGCGCATATATTTTCACACGGTCAGGTAATCTATACGATCAGGTAATCCATTTCACTCAGATGGTCTCCGTGTGAGGGTTTTCCGAAGTATCTAGATTTGTCTCCCAAGTCGCCTTCGCATACTGTTCTTTGAATCAATTAATAATACAAAGACCTGGAAATGGAAATATAAAAACAAATGTAGCACTTACAACACTAAAACTGTTCTTATTGTGGTTGGAGCTTTGGGTCTGATAAAGAAAGGAACTCAACAACAAATCAATAAAATCTCTGGTGCACCATCTCTCCAAGAAATCTAACAAAAATAGTTCTAAGAAATACAGCTCATATCCTGCGATGAACTTTGTACATTTTACTTTTTTTTTGTAAATAGCTTTCTTTTGGTTAATTAAGTGAAAACAACAAAAATTCATATCCTTCGTTTGCCAGCACTCGGCATGTGACTATAAAAGAAATGCGATTAAAAAATATTTTTAAATAAATAATAATATCTGTCTATATCTCTGAGATGAGGTATTATGATTACTTGCATTATTTACATTACTCGGACTGTTATCCTCATCTTCATTCATATTCACAACGTTTCGTTCGTTGTACGCCCCGGGCTTCTTCAGGTGATTGAAACATGGCCCAGTGGATAAAGACGTTGGTTAGATCAAGTGACTAGACCCAAAGAGTTGTGAGTTCAGTACCAGTTCACAGCAGTGGTGAACCAAAACTTGGAGAGTTGAGTTAAAGGGAAATAACTGAGACATCCGGAAGAGGCATGGCCCGTGGAACTAGAACAATCTACCCAGGTGGACAAATAAAGGGTTCAGTTTGAAATTCCAATCACCTGAAAAAGACCGGAGCGCACAAAGGCCGAAACGTTGTGAATATTGCAACGAAGATGAGAATAACAGTTCGAGTATTTATTGTAGCCTTGTAAGGGCCAGAAATAAAGACACAAGAGAGAAAATTGAGTTAAATATATTAACAGAAACAGTGATACAAACATATACAAACGAGAGTGTTACAACAAGAATGTTCGGTCAGACTGTCAGAGCTGACTGCTGGAAATTCCCTCTCCAAAAGGCAGTACCTGCTCCTATTTATAGCTGGGAGAGTCCATGCGTTCGTGGGTAAATTGCCATAACAATAATTTAAATAATGCAAGTAATAATAATAATATCATTATTATGAGAGGAGAATACCGCTCAACAAAATAGCAAATACCAACAACAAGGAGAAAGAGATGAGACGACAAATCATTCAATGATAAAATAATTAGAATAGTGTTATGGGACCTTACCCATAATAACATAATGGACTATTCCATACGTAATAAATACTGCGCCTCAAGAGGAAGCAGAGAGTTCCGTCTGAAGTCTGGAGTTCAGTCTGAAGTCTGGAGTGAAGTGCGTCAGGAGTCTGTCAGTCAGTCAGAGCGAGCAAGTCAGTCAGTCGAGTCAGAGGCAGTCCGAAACAGAGTCGCGTTCAGACAATTACTACTAAACCTGATTGTTCGTACTAACACTTTTCTACCTCTCTGTATATATTCCTGTTTGTAATATATCTGTGTTATTCCATTTCCGTGTTCGCGTTCTTTTTTTATTGGTTCTACCTTGGACTATCACCGTGGTACAAGGAATCGGACCATAACAAATAGGGAGAGTACTGGAGTACTAAGATGTCTTGTTGTCACTTGATCTTGAATATAAAACATCAGTTATTAATGTTTCAGAAATAGGAATCGTATTAACATGAGTATTACTGGTGTCTTACTGAAATGAATACAATACCAAATATTTGTTTTTCTTGAATGGTATTAGTGTCTCTTGTATTGTATATCTTTTATGCTTTGAAGTACTTACTTGTGTCTTCTTGAGAAGACGATCAGGATTGTTACCGCTGCTTGAATAACTGTGCGAACAGCAATTATTCTTGGTTTTTCCAATTTCCGAACATTTTTCGCGATTATCCGCTATTGTTCTATTTCGGGTTCACTCTTTGAGCGCCACGTGCTATCGTTTCAAAAGATTCATTGGCGATTAAGTTTATATTTAGTCTTGTGGGTCGGATGAGATTTATCTCTGTTTCGAAAATCCCATAGCAGCCGCCTCTCTTGCAGGCTTCAGGTCATTTGAACCGTTTGTACATATTGTTTTCTTTGTTGAAACTTGGTTCACCGTGTCGCGCCAGACCATTTTTCTAGCCAGAATCCATGTTTCACATTTATAAATCTACCATTCATCCGTACTTTGAATACTGCTGCCATATCTTGTCTGCTGCTCCTGCTATACATCTAGAGATTCTCGACAAAATCCAAAGATGTGTCTGTAATGTTACCGGTCCTGACTTTCAGTCACTTCCCCACCGCCGTGACATAGCTTCTTTTTTTTTTTTTTCTATAAATATTTTCATGGCAGTTGGTCCAATTAACTCTTCTCCTTGGTTCCTAGTTAGGACTTTCATAGAGACAATGAGGTATTACGGTGGATGTTGTAAGACTGGTAAGTAAGAATGCGTTGTTTTGGTGTAAGGAAGATTGTGCTATGTTTGAGTCAGTGATCGTGGCTAGCCAATTCCCCATCATATCATTCATTCTGATAAGTGAGACAACTGAAAGCCAAGAATGTGACACTCGGGTAAAAATTTACGAAGACTAATGTCCCATCATATCATTCTTTCTGATAAGTCTATACCAAATACACGCATCATCATCATCATCATCATCATCATCATCATCAGATTATTATTATTATTATTATTATTATTGAGTGACAAAGCAGTCCAACAACGAGGTGACATACGGGCATAAATTTACGAAGCCCAATATCCCCATCATGTCACTCAGTGCGATGAAGGTATAGCATGCTTATTCATCACAGTCAACTGTGCGTAACCAGTTTACAACTGATACAAGTAGCGCATATCTTTGGATGCGGTCAGGTAATCTATACGATCAGGTAATCCATTCCACTCAAGTGGTCTCCGTGTGAGGGTTTTCTTAAAACACTAAAACTGTTCCTGTTGTGGCTGGCGCTTTGGATCTGATAAAAGAACGACTTTCATAGAGACATGAGGTATTACGGTGGATGTTGTAAGAATGGTGATTAAGAATGCGTTGTTTTGGTGTAAGGAAGATTGTGCTATGTTTGGGTCAGTGATCGTGGCTAGCCAAATTTAATGTTAAGACATAAGAAGACTATCCTCTTTCCCCATTTTGGCCTTCTGCCACATTTCTGTAAATAATGCGGAATAAATATCACTCTTCTCCTTGATACCCCGAAAGCATAAATTTAAGCCTACTACTAAATTGGCAAGTAGGTCTCATCGTTTTACTTTTCAATTAAGTCTACTATGATAGATGCTTGCAGAAACAATCTTTAGTTTATACTACAACTATGCTGAGCGGAACTTAGTTACAGTTTGAGAGAGAGAGAGAGAGAGAGAGAGAGAGAGAGAGAGAGAGAGAGAGAAAGAGAGAGAGAAAATGATAATAACAATAATAATAATCTGTCGGCATGAACAGACTGAACAAGGCCAGTACGATCAAATCCTCGATCACGATGACTTGTGATTTCGTGCTAGCACAACTATCGGAACAGTTCCGTCTAGCCAATCTTACTAACAAAGGTTGGGTCAACACTTGGTATGGTTTTCAGTCACTTTCGATCGGTGCCATGCCACAAGCAGGCAGATAACATCAATATTTCTGACATATCGAGCATGAAGATATTCGAACGCGGGTCTCAAGGCCCAAAGGTGAATGTTATATATATATATATTTTAAAGAAAAACAAACCGCTTTAAGGTTACATTATAATAATTTATTTCACCAGAGCCCTTTTAAAGGACGCCGGGTCATCAGATAGCACTTCCAAAAGATGAAACGAAAAAAAGTTATATATACATATATATATATATATATATATATATATATATATATATATATATATATATATATATGTATATATAAAAAGCTTGAAACAGATTGTCGAGGCTTTATCTCTGATATTGGGTATTTTGAATTTTTCACTGCTCTAGAACACATGCCTTTTTAAACAACATATCTACAACGATATCTTAATGTCGAAGATTTGTTGTTTAAAAACAGTAATTTGGACTTTGCTAATCAGACGCTTTTCTATAGCTAAATAGTATAGCACATGAGATCAAATGACAGCTTCTGAATAGGAATGCAGGTTTAATTCCTGTCAGAAACGCATATTTTCTAAGAAATTTTTCGAACATTCAGGCATGTAAATGTAATTAATACTGTCTAATTAAAAACAGAGAAATTACAAATAAATTGTATCTATAAAAAAATGTATAATGAGAATATATATATATATATATATATATAATTATTTATTTAAAAATATGATTCCAAATCGCTACATAAGAGGTCTCATGTTTCAAAACAAGAGCCGAAAACTTCAATATAATCCTTTAAATTTGGAATCATATTTTTAAATAATTATATTTATGCTCTACTTTTGTATCGAGCACTATTTTTTAAAAATAATAACTAAAATACTAAGGGAATTTGGATTATTTACCTAACCAGTTCCTTCCTATTTTCTATATATTTTCATATATATATATATATATATATATATATATATATATATATATATATATATGTCTTATTGAATAAATTGTGAGCATTATATCCGCTTATTTTTATCATAATCCTGTCATACTCACGAGTATTTTTCCGTCTCTTACAATCAAATGAGGCAAGAAATGATTTGATTGTAATATTTGATTGTAATATACGGAAATATATTCGTGAATATGAATGGATTATAATAAAAATAAGCAGATATAATATTTGTAATTTATTCAATCAGACATGCCTAAATGAGAATTTTCTTTCTAAATACACAAATCATATATATATATATATATATATATATATATATATATATATATATATATATAATCTGTGTTGGGATGTACATTACACTGCCTACAGAGACTTTAAAACGCAAGCTAGAGGTTAACACGGCCACCAACATTCGAAAACTTTTAGAAGATCAAGGATAGCTAGCTAGCTATATAGATGGATGGATAGATGCTATAAGTTGAATATTATATAAGATTAAAACAGCACACGTGAGCTCTCTAGAGGGTAAAAGACGAAAATACATTTGATACACTTCAAGATTAGTGTTTTCTCTTACAAAGACACGAATTCAATAAATAAACAGAGTACGACACGTACAATAATAACGAAGACTATTTTAACCTTAAGTAAAAAGCACAATTATAACTAGACAGTCTATATTGACAAAAAAAAGCTTTCAGAATAATGATGCTTTTATGCGTGTAATTATTTTTAGATCCAGTTTGAAGCGTTAAACCTAAAAAGAGCAAGGAAATACTCAAGAGAAAAAATGCTGAGTGCTTTGACAACCACAATTGGCTAGAATAAAATAGGAGTTCAGTAAAACTTATGTCTTTAAATTGTCTGATAGATAATGGCATTTTTAATACAGTATATTGTTATGAGCATACGAGACGCTTCCCACGTTCCGACACAAGCAGCAGCAGCAGCAACAATATCACGTTTGGTTGCGCTATTTATGCTTCCTCTCATGCATGATTCTACTACAACCGCCACCTCCATCATCAGGCATAAAAGAGGAGGTGCTGAAAAATTGTCACTTCCCAAAATCTGACCAAACAATAATTTTGTTAGGAATCATTTTTTGGTTGGCTCGATAAAATTTCAGCACTTAATGGCATTAGAAAGTGAATCAATAATTTCATAGCCCGAACCATCTATTAGCTGAATTTTGATCTGAAATTTTCACTGTATAATGTTCGATCACTGTGACTGATGCAGAAGTGTTGGCTCAAGTGCAGTGCCAGAAAAGAAGATTATGCTGAAAAATATATAATGCGAAATAATTGCTTTTCATCATGGAACTATTGTTTTATTTATTTATATATATATATATATATATATATATATATATATATATATATATATATATATATATATTGATGCATGTTTCATTAAATAACAAGGACAGGTTTTATCTATTTTCTTTCATGCAAATTCCTTTCATATCGTCTAATAAGCTTAATAACATTATCATTAAAAGACGAAAGAAAATCACCATATTGATACATGTTTTTTTTAATCCTATCTAAGCTTTCGGCTTACATAAGCCATCATCAAAGATGACAATAACATTACAATATATTAAACAATATACGGACATGGCAATAATGATAGTCTGTTTTTTTGTTTGCATGGAAGATTTCCAAGCAACGACAAACTCGTGCATACGAGACGTTGGCAGCGAAAATCGCACCGCGGCTGATAACATCATGCATGATTACGCGAGAGTGAAAACGAGAAGCTTTAAGTATGGGAAGCCGTTGGTATAAACCAATGGCTTCTGTTATCAATTATAGGTATTTGAGTATATTTGTGGAGTTTTCATAGTTTATTTTGTTGAGGTTAGGTTTCAACTGTTTTATGTATATAGCTTCAAGAATTTTTAGTTTTTGTTTATTGCTTTCATGTTTAAGTATAGTTGTGTTTTCCACAAGGATTTTCCGGAATTGTGTATAGCATGTTGTTTTAAATGCTTAAAAATGTTAGAGTTATTATTCAAATGTAGAGTCAAGCGTCGTGAAAGCGAGTTTGTGGTGTGACCAACATGAATAATGTAATATTATTGTCATCTTTGATGATGGATTATGTAAGCCGAAAGCTGAGATAGGATTAAAAAAAACATGTATCAATATGAATTTCTTTCGTCTTTCAATGATAATATCATTAAGCTTATCAGACGATATGAAAGGAATTTGCATAAAATAAATAGCCAAAAATTATCTATATTATTTAATGAAAGATTCATCAATGAAAAAAATGTTGCCTAAGTACACACACATATATATATATATATATATATATATATATATATATATGTGTGTGTGTGTGTGTGTGTGTGTGTGTAACACTATTTAGCTTGCTAAAAGGGAGAAAGGAGAAAAGAAAAAGAAAGAAAAAGAAAAGAAAGGCGAGAATAAAAATTAGGTGATAAGAAGTCATCACGAAAAGGACACTAAGCGGTGTAATGTTTCTGACAAGGAAAAGTGGTAAAATTTTTATTTTCCATTGTCGAGAAGTTAAAAAGGAAGATACTGGAATTAATCTGATTTAGGTTACGGGGCGGGTGGAATTTCCAGGTTGGCCAAACTACCTCAGAGACAGAATTCTAAATAGATAAACACTTGATAATTGGCGAAAATCTCGTTGACAACTCCCATATGAAATTCGGCTGTGTTGGCAAAATTGTTTTATCGGATCAGTGGTTGGCGCCAGGAGTGTAAGTACGTCTGGTTGACCATCCACTTGTTAATTGGCGAAAATCTCATTGACGAATTCCAGGTAATTCAGTTAAAAGATAAGAAGTCTAGGGTGTAAGGTTTCCCCGAAGGGAAGAAAGAAAAGGAAAAGTGAAAAAAGAAAAAAAAGATAAAATTTTTTTCTTTGAGCAAGATTTTTTTAAACCGAGGCTAGTCTGGTCACACCCACGCTGCTGAACGCCCATTGGTGAATGGCAGCATTAATGTTGGGCGGAGGTAATCATGTGAAGTAGAAGGGGAGGCCTGTTGGCACCCATTGAGGGGATAGGTGTGAGATGCCACCGTGACTGAGAGGGGAAATCCGTTGACACCCTCTGAGGGTATGGTGAGATACCAATATGAGAAGGTGGGAGGACGAAGAGACTTCCAAAAATGGAAATTAATAAAATTTTCCTGACCCAAAACAAAGAGGTGGATTGTGGGTTTGGAATTATCAAGGAACCTCAAACCCCGACAAGCCCACCCCGGTTTTGGTCGGCGTCCATATAAGCAGAGTCGCAGCGAGTGAAAATAAGTTCCATTTGAGAGGCAGTTGAGTTAAGTTCGAAGTTCGCAGTTGAAGTAGCACCCGCCTCGCAGAAGCTGACTAAGATTCACGCAAATCACGACTCATCTTCTAACCAAGAACAATTTATTTTTGAAGAACGACTTAGACTCACACCACCAAAACATGTTTTACGAATTTCGCCTGAAGATACACCAAGAACCACTTTCTTAAAAACAAACAACTTAAGATGTTAAGACTCGCCTAACAAACACAAAGTGTCACGAATCCATATAGCGGGTTGGGAAGTAGACGCAGTCTTGTATTCAGCAACCAGATATAAAGTATTGTTATCCTTTTTTAATACATTTGAACTTTTCGAGTTATTATTTTCTTTTCTTTTACACATACTTGTGCGATATCACCCTTATTCGAACTCGACTTGCAGTACGGCCCGTCTACTGATTGATTTCGTCTGCCTAAGATCAATTCACAACGTGGGTAGGTTAGACTGGAAATCAAAGCAGTTACTTCGGTAACCAGACGTTGGAGGTGAGCTGGGAACGACAAGGCTGATACCGAATCTAACCAGATTTCCACCCGAATCACCAAAAGGTTAGAACGTCACATTTGGTGCCGC